AACCCTAACCCTAACCCTAACCCTAACCCTAACCCTAACCCCGCCCTTTCCTACACCACGGCAGTCCCAACACCAACGCACACAGCACAAGACGGCAGGTTGTGCACGCCACACCTCCATGTACATACGCTATGTTGCCCCCTCCGTCTCTTACAGCCCCACACACTCAGAGGCAGAGAGCCCTCTATAGCACGCTCACCCCACAGCACACCCGTCCAGTCATACACCACACGCAGCCACTCACCGGCAGGCCACACACACGCACCAGACGGAGCAGTATCAGCGTCCCCCGCACGGTGCACAGCGGCAGATTCCCCAGTTTGGGCCGCACTCACAGCACTCCCAGAGCGGCTACCCCTAAGCCGTGGGAATCGCCATCGTCACACGTCTCCAGCAAGGGGACAGCCCACAGATGGACCACTACCCCCCTGTACACGTTGCTCGCCTGCCTGTTCGCTCAGTAAAGGGTCCGGCTCTCATGCCGTGCAGAGGGCCGTGTTGTGTTCGGCGTGGCCAGGCCCTCGAGTCGACCACCACCACATATGGCACAGACATCGCCGCAACTGTCGCAGCCCTCGTCATGACATGCCTCTCTGTCGCGCTGGTGCTCTGTTCACCTCCGCTATCGTGGTGGCGTCCGCCTGCCTCTCAACAAACTTCCGACAAGAGTTAGCTCCCTTTCGTACCCTTTCTTCACCCCTGCTCGTCTCCTCTGGCTGTTGCCGTGCGAGCGTTGAGGAAGCGGTGGGCTCACCACGTCCGAGCTGGCGCGGTGTGCGGAGTGTTGAGCACGTGACATTGCGACACTCCGCCGTTCAGCAGGAAGCCACCGTTGCTGCTGCAGTCGCATCTTCTTGGTGGGCAGCTGCCGCACGTTCTTTGGCCCCTCGGCACGGTGGAATGGTGCTGCAGCGGTAGACAGCGTCGCGTCCGGCACCTGAAGAGCCCGCCACACACCACCACGCCCACGCCCTCTGCCTCTTCCACGGCGCCGGTGCTATTTCCTCGCAGAAGGAGCTCTTGCGCGAGATGCAGTGGTTTATCAGCGCTCCGGCGACGCAACACTCCACGACAATGCTTGAAAGATAGAGGACGCCTTGACGGTGCACCTGCTCAGCGGGAGCCACTTGGAGTTCTCAGCAATCAGAATCATTGTCGTGACTGCTTTAATTTCTCTTGTTTTCGCGCCTTTATCTCAAATTCTTCTCCCTCTTTCCACTCCGTTTTCTCAGTCGCATCTTCTTTCCTTTTACAGCTATATTTAGTCGTTCTTCTCTTGTGTGGTCCCGTAAATCTTGTTTTTCTTCCGCTTCCCTCCTCTTTGAGCGCAAATGCCTGCCGTCAATTATCGTCACCTCCTTCTCTCTCCGTATCAAACACCTCACTTCAGATGTGTATTTTTCTTCTTAAGATTTCAAGTCTCGGAAGATCAACCGTTCCGACATTCTCTATTGCTACAGGGAAGAGGACTGGCAACGTTGCAACAGATGGTTCTTCTTTCAGCCAATCAAGTGTTATGTATTACAAAGCGGATCATAAAGACGGCAAAAAAGGCCCCTGGGTCCCCTTGAATCCACACCTACATGCTGGCCAAAGAAGGACCGTACACCACCCTCTTCCTCTTGCTCTGTTCTTCAGAGAATGTAAAGCAGCGCTGAGAGTGCGGCAGTGACAATCCACTACCAAGTAATATAGAAAGGAAAGAGCTGTGATACAACGGCGACGCTGCACTCGGCATGCTCGAGTCACTTCTGTCTGGTTTCCACCGCTTTCTAACGCAAAGCACATCAATGCGCAGGAGTCCGCTTTTCTTTTCATCTACTATCCCCTTTTGTGGCACCACACTTTCCCCGCTAGGCAGCTCTCAGCAACTGGGACTATAATAACTCACAGTACCAGGAGAGCAGAGTTGCTCGATGATCGTATGGCTCTAATCCGTTGCCTGCTAACGCGGCAAAGAAAGGACAGCGTTACCGTTGTAGGTGACAACTACGGCGCATCTGTGGGTTCAAAGCGCTGCCTCACTTCATTCCTTTTCGACGAAGCACCCGCCTCGGTGGAAGCACCTGGGAACACAAAGTGTTCAGCTTTAATGCCGTCTAAGAGACAATACCGTGCGCTACGTCCTTCACCTGCGATCTCAGCACTCTTGAAGGTAGTTTTTGCTGTAAGGGCGACATGCACGTAAGGCAAGACGAAAAGAGGCCAAGATTGGACGAGAGAAGAGTGGGGAGACAACAGTGCAGAAAGCAGAATGACGTGAAAGATGACATTACCAGGAATTCCACAGCACCAACCTCTGTCCCTTACACGCACGAGCATTGCAAATGGGAAGTTACCACACGACACCGTTTGCTTGTAATAGGATCTTGCTGCGGTGTATTCGTACTTGTGAGAGTACGTCGTGTGACCTTATTCCGCCTTTCAACACTCCAAGACTTTCTGTGCATTTTGTTTTTTGGATTCATGTCAAAAACTTTATTAATCAAAAACAAACGTATTATGCTGACAATCAGAGGAGCATCCATGTTTACAAAAAAAAACCGAAGCTTCGTTTTTGCGTCCGTACCAGCACGGCGATGAGATAAGCCTGCTCAACTACACAAACGCTTACATCGCTTTACCCGCAAAGCGCCGGCAAGGTGAACAACGGAAAGAAAGTTTTGAGAAATGCCTGCACTTATAGAAGGCAGAAATACAGCATACGGTACAGCAAGGAGAAAACAAAAGGAAGACGATCTATGTTCGACTCCACAGTAGGGCACGGGATGCATTGCAGTTTATCGATTATCTTAAAAAGCGTAACAAGTAATAGTGGAACATGAAGAAGGAATCAAAAAGTGGACGTAGGTAGCCGTTAGAGAAAGAAACCCGTTAAAAACAAAGAGCTTTCCACAGTAGGTATGTGCTTTTGTTTGTAACAGTCACAACGAAACCAGGGGAAATGAAGCGCATTAGATGTCTACATCAGAGGATCACGCGGGCTCACCTTTGAGTTGGCGACCAGCACGGCGAAGAAAGACAGCAAGGCAACTGCTCGGACGCAGGGTATGGTGCACAGGCCGGCAGACGGCACACGTTTGGGATCCCAATCGGCGCACAGAATATGTATCACGATGGTCTACACACAGAAAACAAAGAGCAGAAAAACGGCAGCGCAGAGGCAGACAAAGGCGCGATTTGTCGGGTTGCGAATGAGGAAACGATGTGTTTTGTGGTTGAGCACAAGACCAAAGCACGCCGTCATGGCAATCAAACAGAGGCCACTCTCCGCGGCGGTGATGGCGTAGAAGATAACATACACCCCGCCGACAAGCCAGGTGTCATTGTCAGCTGACTCATCTTTCGTTTCGCGGCTGATCACAACGGCGGCAACGACGATGGATCCAAGAGAGAGGAGGGCAGCGATGGCGGTGAGCGCGAGCGAAGCGATCACGTACCCGCTATGGGGCACAGGGTGTTCCTGAGGTAACGATTAATATGGAAATGGAGCGCTCAAAGGATTGTCGTTGTCAATCTGTGAGCTGAGGACCGTGCCCGAGAGAACTGCCGCGGTTTTGTCAATTTCTGTCGGTGGTGTTTTCGTTGAGAGCTTCATCGATGTGGTGTTTGAGCACCGTGAGCTCGCGTCAACATCAATACTCTTCTCTTTTGCGAGCATCGTAAGTGGCGGGAAATGGTTAAGCGAACAAAACAGTACGTGTTTATCTGTCTGTAGGTCAGCGTGCTTATGTGATTGCCGGTGCGACACTTTGATGAACGTCTTGCAGAATTACAATTGATAAAGGGGTCAGGATAAAATGCGGAAGCGCGTGCACAAAAAAAAAGGCAAAGAAGGGAGATAGAGAAGGCGGAAGAGGGACAGCGGTGCAGCGCCTCCACGGGAGGGGGGCAGTGCTTTATGCAACAAGTGATCGCACAGTTGTTGTGGTACCGATCGCACCTTGCAGAAGAAAATGGCGCTGTCCTTTTTTCTCTTTTACACTGTGCAGTACCAACAGTACTTTATCCGCACTCTCGGTCACGCCACTTCGATATAACACGCTTTGGGGCTTTGCTTTTTCTCTCTCTCTCTATCGTCTCTCCTCAGGGTAGAAGGTCAGGAAGGCAGTGGAAACAAGGAAAAAAATGAAGGGGAAAAAGAAGAATCTATAGGGGATGTGCTGGGCAGCAGGGTGCGTGCCACGCTTGACGACAGGCTCCGTTTACGCGTAGCCGTACAGGATGTGGCCGCGCTTGCGCAGCGCGTTCACGACGTCCGACGCCGTCACCGTCTTCTTGCGTGCATACTCGGTGTACGCGGTGCTGGAGCGCACGACGTCCTCGACGTAGGCCTTCAGCACGCGGCGCACCTCCTCGTAGATCTCACTCGAGATGCGCTTCACGCCACCACGGCGGGCCATACGGCGGATGGAGCCGCGGGTGATGCCGCGGATGTTGTCGCGGAGCACCTTCTTCTGGCGCTTCTGGCTGCCCTTGGCATCAGCGAAACGCTTTCCCTTGGCCATCTTGATAGAACTGTTAGGGTGTAGAAAGTAGTTTTCGTGGGGAAAGGAGAGGCAGGAACGCGGTAGAGGGCGATCTGAGCGTCATCGAGAGGGATACGGAGCAGCGAAAAGCGTCACATAACGTTGCACACGCAAATGGGGTTGTGTTGGGGAGAGGAGAGAAGGGATGTTAGATGAAAATGAATCAGAGTGAGAAGTCGCGCATATATTGTGGCTTCTTTCAGGCAGTTGAGAAGGCTCGCTTAGTCAAGTTGAGGGTTTGACACTTCATAAATTTTTCTTCTTTGAAGAAGGTACAATCGGCCACAAGGCCTCCAGCGCTTGTTGGTTTTCACATCCCTCTTTTGCGCTTCCGTTTTCCCCATCGCGATACGCACTAACGCAGTGTTTTCTGAGCCTCTCCGGCTCATTTTCGCGTAGAACAGTAAAACGTCGCAAATACGTACTCGACGGCGAAAGGAGAAGGTACGGGGAAGAACTAACGCACAAAGCAGTAAAGGCAGTAAAAAGGAGACAAAAGAAGTAGCTGGAAGTCTTGCAAAAGAACAACAGGAAGCGAGAAAGCAGAAGCAGAACAGAGTCAGTAAATATTTGTATTGCCAATTGAATGCGGCGATGTTTACTAGAGAGAAGATTTGTTGTGGTGTGTGGTAACTGGTGTCAGGGCTGCACTTTATACATAACGAGTCGTGCAATCCTGGAAATTCACTTGCCCAATAACACGAGAAAAGAGAAAGAAAATGGCAAGAGGAGACGTTTTCGTTTGTGCGTAGCGCCTGCTCCGCACTCATGTTCACAAAAACAAAGGCATCTCACACTCATTCCCTTGTTTACAACATGAATGATAGTACAGCAGAAAAGGAAAAGCGCGCTTTGGGAATTCGCAGAAGAATTAAAAACCAGACGTATGAACAGGCAAAACCAAAGCGAAAACGTGCGGCTGCGAAACAAGACGAAAACCATTTTTCAAGAGTAGGTCAGAAAGAAGAAACTAAGAAGAGCTGATGGTTGAGTTGCACCCCTCGCTCGCGCAATGCGGCGCACTCAGCCTCGCAGCACCCACTCGAAAAGCGTGTCCCGCCAATCCCGAGATATCGCAGGTGGGCGCATGACGTGAGTGGGGAGAGAGACGTGACAGCGATGCAAATGTGAAGATGAAGCTTGGCCAGCTGGCCGCACTGCGCAACAGCCTGCAGCGAAGTGTCATTGAAGGCGGTGTCGCATACACCTATCTCCTCTACCAGCTGCAGGCGCCGCAGCGGCGTAAAGTCGCGGAGAACGCGGCAGCCGTTGAGGAGAAACGTGCGCAGCGGCATCATCGGCGTGCAGAGCGCGTTAAGAC